TTTATCTGAACGAGAGAAAAAGAGTCGAGTGAGTCTCTTCTCTTCTCTCGCTAAGCCAACGTTGGCACCCAGCCTCTACGGAGGCAGAAGAAAAATCACGAGTGGGAAGGGCCGTCAAGATACATATATATATATATATAGGAGCAACATATGTGTAGGTTCGAAGTCTGCTAGAGGAGAGAGGGCACAAAATGAACGCTCGATGCGCTCGACGATAATGCCGAGCTTTCACGGCTGACTTCGATAATAATATCGCTTTAATGGCGATACCTTCGTTGAGTATTCGCAACAAACTTGATCTTTGCATGACTGGTCCAACCATATATACAGGGTGTGTTCTATATCCGTATTAACATATGAACTTATTGTGCTAGTATTGATTTGTTTCACCAACCGTAATTAATTCGATCGAAGAAGAAATTATGAGAAAAAAAAAATAGTTTATCAATTATTTCACATTTAACATAAGTCGGACTCAATCAACGAAAGAGAGAGAGTATTAAATTCAAAATGTTGCTCAATTATAATGTCATAAATTTAAATTCAATCCTTCCTTCCCCCTTGTTTGAAACTTTCTTCGTCGTCGTCGTCGTTGTTCGTCGTAGTATTGGACAACTTTAAACGATGCTATTTTTCTTTTTTTTTTTTTTTTTTTAAATCGCATTAGAAATCATCGTTGAGTTAATGACGTGTGAATCTGATGAATTGCGACTGGTTAGCGAGTGTTTCGGCCTGGTAGAAAGCGAGTCGAGTCAATGGACGTTGATCTTTTCATTCGCTGAACTAACGCGCCGCTCTCTTCGGAATAATATCCCTGTCGTGCTACTGCAAAAAGGGGGATTGCATACAAGGGAGAGAGAGAGAGAGAGAGAGAGAGAACAATTGATTCCTCCAGTCAAATTTTTATTTCCAATCCCCTTTCCAGCATCCTCGTTAAACGACTTTTTAATGTGCCTGTCTGGTCGTCTCGATTATAATCGTGCATCTAATTTTCTCTCAACTGTAACAAAATGAACAACAAAATAGTACTTCATAAAATAAAAATAATAAATTGATAAATATATTTCCCACGTTACATTTGATATATTGTATGTAGTTTTATGTAATAGATCATCATCTTACAGATAATATTACGATATATATATATATATATAGGACACACATTGGGTTGTGATCGTGTAAAGGTACCAGTAGCATACGTCCCTGGTTTAGATGAGAGAGTAAAAGATAAGATAGAAAGAGAAAAAGACGTATGGTCATTCAGAGGCAGAGCACGCAGACTCCGCTATGCCCTGGAGGCCCTTACGCACCAGAAGATACGCACATCCTGCTACGAAGGGAAGCCACGACGACGACGACGACGACCAACCGACGACCCTCCTTTTATTCTTCTTTTCTTCTCTTTTCTTTTCCTCTTCTTCTTCTTTTTCTTTTTCTTCTTCTTACATTTCTTTTTTCATTTCTCCCACTCATTTCTCTGTCTTCTTAGTTGGTTGGTTGGTTGGTAGGTTGGTTGGTTGGTTGGTTGGTTCGTTCGTTGCCGGTTCTCTTCCACTTCCAAGTTCTCTCTGCTTGTACCACAGCTACTTCGTTCGTCTTGTTGTGTTTCTCTTGTTCTTCTTTTTCATCCCTTTCTCTCTGTAGCATGATGTCTGCTGCGCCGTTAGGTGGTGCATGCTGTCTGGTAGAGTGTGTCCCAACTCATCCCGTGTGAGAAAGTTCCGTTTCTCGTTGAGCAAGTATGGTATATAGTGCCAATGACCACGCTCAGGCACGCCTATGATAATATATATGTGTGTGTGTGTGTGTGTCTGGGTTGATTAATTTCAACCATATAAACTTTGCGTTCTACAACGAGGATTCCCATAGTAGTAGTGGTGGTGGTGTTGGTTGCGTCCCACTGATAGATTACTGTTAAATATTCAAATACGATAGGAATAGTTTATACGTTCATTAAGATCATTCGTTAGAACTTTGTCACCTCTGAGAATATTTCCAGGATATTTTCAATTTTTTTTTTTTTATAAAAGTAATAATCGACAAAAAGTGTTAATTAATTGTACACCTTTTAAAATAAGAAGAAGAAGAAGAAGAAGGGATTTCTATTAATAGAAATTCTCTCTGTGAACATCGTCATCGTCTTTCTCTTTTTAGTGCCATTGTCCTCTAAAGAACTCCCTGCTAACAATAAGTCTAATAGAAGATAGAAATTCTTGGCTTTGATCCAACTACTAAAAGAAATATAAATGGGAAAGGGTAATCATCATCTCTATTTGCTTGGGATTTTTCACATTTTCTTTTTCTCCGATATCAACTCCTTATCTTTTATCTATTCTCGTTCCATGTTCTATAAAGGAGGGGGAGAAATAAAACAAAAGAAAAAACAAATGTATTTTTTACTTGAGATTGGACAAAACGTAAGGAGAACATTTCTAAGATCTTCTCGGTTTATAACTGCGCTGACTGAGATTAGATCATGCGATGGAATGCAAGAGGTTGACCTTACAAACAGCACACACATATATATATGTATTGTACTGAATATGATACTTGCAATTCGTTTAGCTTTGAAAACGTCGTCTGTAATCTTCCAACAACGTCCTGCGTTCGTTAAATGATTATTTCTTTTTCACCATTGTCCGAACAAACATAATAAATGAAAGATATTTCAGATATCAATCGCAAAACTGGGTCCCCTTTTTAAATGTATCAATTTGCGAAGACTATCATGAAGTTGTTGTCAGATATGTAACTATTTGTTATAAAGGGTTTCAACGAACGATGAAAAATGATTGTCGGTTCCACGCCCTTCTAAACATCGTTTTACTACTACTACTACTACTACTAGGAACGGATTTGATATCATACCCGGTAGTAGGTAGAAGTAGGCACGTGCACGCCTTTGAAGTGTACGATATATCAATAATAGTAAAACGGAAACGCGCAGTCGGAATGATGGAGGAAGAGGAAGAGGAAGAGGAAGAGAAAGATCAATTATTATTACTACCGTCGTGTATTATTGTAGTTGTAGTAGAAATATTGCCAACTGTTTGTTACTAATACGTCTTTATCGTGTGGCTCTTCGTTTCGACAGAAAGAGAAAGAGAATAAAAGGGTTTAGCAAATGTAGAGAGAGAGAGGACCCCGACCGTGTACCGATCATTAATATATAACCGTCGTGTTACGTATATTGGGATCGTTAAGAGAACAAACGTCATCGAGACATTTGTTTGTTGTAGCAGTGTAAGGGTAACTTAGAGGCGTGGAGGAGTAGTGTGTCGTTGAATAAAGAAAGAAAGAAAGGGTAAACTGAAAAAAAAAAGTTAAAAATAAAAAAAAAAACACTGAAAGTAGTAGTCCTTCGTCTCATTTCGTTTCAATTTCAATTGATTTCTATTCCAACCGAGAACGAAACTCTCTCATTATTGTATATGTATGAGCCTCCCTCTTCTCTCTTCCTCTCTTTCTTTCTCTCTGTTTCTCTTTCTCCGGTTTGAAACGCCACAAAGGATCGTGTTTTTCTCGCTGCAGGACTCCGAGACGAGTCTTCGAAGTAGCAGCTGCGGCCCCCGCGACGGTATAGGAGACCGATCCCGAGTTTCGACTAGTGAGGGAGGGAGGGGGGCAGGGGAACAACCTATGCTGCTCCTGATATCCTTTTCTTTGCCTTTCCAATTAAAGATGCAAGAATGAAGTTGTACTTCGAATGATTTCTACGAATAACAAGGCTCTTCTTGACAAAAGCTTTTCTTTCTCTTTCTACCGGTTTCATCCCCCTCCCCTCCCCTCCCCCATAAACGATCGTATTTCTTTAGGCTTATCATCTCGCCTTATTTTATCGTGCTTAATCATATTTCTAATCAATTTGTATAAATATTTGATTATCGCGATACATCGATAGCACAAACCGGATTTTAGAAGAATTTCTTCGTCTCTCTGTTCTGTGAAGGCTTACTACATCGAATATATGTTTGCTGCTGCTGTTGCTGCCTCGTAACGGGTGTTGTAATCCATTACCGATCGTTGAATTCAACTGACCGGTGATCGTTTGGATTCTTGGAAACTCGATTCCATCGAGAGAGAGAGAGAGAAAAAAAAATAGAAAAAAAATGTGGGAAAGCACGAGGAGAGAGAGAGAGAGAGAGAGGGGAGTCTCCGTCTTTATCCTTTCGTCGTATCGGTAGGATTCCAGGAGTCATCAGTTGTGGATTAACGTCTCAATAAAAGATAGATAGAGAGAGAGAGAGAGAGAGAGAGAGAGAGAGAGAGAGAAGGTCTAGTCACGAGTGATTTAATCCGGCATGCAAGCAAACGGATATACCAACTACGTCGTCTCGATGTTTTTCCTGGTATTTGAAAAATTTTCAATGCGCCATGTTACAACGCAATGGTGGGTCAAATGTATTTCAATTTCGATCCGTCGATCATTTGCAGTTTATTGATGCATTTTATGATTGAACTAATTCGTATGTTCTAATTTCTAAAACGTTAATAACATTTCTTACTTGAATCTGTAATAATGTATACTACACGTATTACATGTTCGAATGAAAATATGATTTGTAAAACTCGTTGAAAAAATTACTCCACATACACATGGGATGTAAAATAGAGTACATGTAAAGAAAGAGAATCGCGTGGTAAATGAGGAAGGTGGGGAGGAACTTTAAAGACTAGTAACTCGAGACTCTTGTACGAACGAAGCATTTAACCGCTGACCGTAAACAGAAAATGAGAGAAAGGAGGGTGTGTACCAAGTCGACGAAGAAAAAAGAGGGAGGAGTTCCCCCCCCCCTGAGTTCCTTCTTTTCTTCTAAGGGCGTTAATTACGTCCTTCGTACTTTTACATTTATCCTTTATACCATGTTCTTTAACGATATATGCATTGTAAGAAATTGGAATCGTTTGTAGTTTTGTTAAAAGGAATAACGTATTGCACGAACGGTCGTACGTTGGATTAATTTATTGATTTTATTTTTTTTTATTTTTTTTCTTTTCAGATACGTCGTATGAGAAAGCTTGCCGAAGAGGAAGTGCACCGGCAACACCGGTACTCGGAGGACGGCCCTTGGATGTTACGCCAAATAGAATCGTCGTAAGTGTTTCGTATATTATTAAATTTCATTTTTACAAACCTAATACGAATTAGTATTGAATATTAAAAATCAAATTCGTAACTAGAAGTAAGATTTCCCGCGTTAAGGTTCGGTCGGCAAGGTAGGCATCTATTACTCTACGGCAAAATACGCGGCAAACTTGAATTTCATTGAAGTTAACTCTAACAAGAAGGATCATGAACGATAAATTGAATTGAAAATTCGTAGGATTCGAATCGAATTATCGTAAATCGTCGAAAGTTAGAGAGTTAGAAAGTGGATACACGTGACGATAAGTACTACGTGATAAATATATAAAAGCAGTAGTAGTAGTAGTAGTAGTAGTAATAGTAGGCGCGTTCGAAAAGGGTCTCCCTTCGACTTTATCTACCTGCTGCGATTTTATCGCGTACTCGCACGTATACTCGGCTTGAATGCAAAAGCAGACGACGCAATACGGAAAATATCGATCCGGTCTCTTCGTTTAACCGGCAGGTGTTCTCAAATCCCACGTGATAGTTTTCTTTTGTAAACTTCGTATGTTAAACACTAATGCGCGAGCGTTTACACACACAAAAACACGTATACGCGTATCGCGAGTTAGATAATCGAACCAGGCGCAATCCCAATACGTTCAAATTGATTTTCCAAAGAGACACGATGCAATGATAAATGAAATCAAAGAAAAACAAAAAGAAAAAATGTATTGAAACACAAAAGAATATGAGAAACGTTGGAGAGTATTTTGATTCGGGGAAGGTAAAATTTGATGAGACGGTCGCTTGTGAGAACCCCTCGAAGACGTTTTTGTCCTTCTTACCTACCCGGTGTTGCTGCTGCTGCTGCTGTTGCTGATGCTGATGGTGATGGTGCGAACGTGAACAACACGCTTTGGTGGTGGTAAAAAGAGACCTAAAAGAAGAAGAAGAGGAAGAAGAAGAAAAAGAGAAGAAACAGAAGAAGGAGACGTAGACGAAGGGCTCTGAGACGAGAAGAGGGACCAAGGGGTAAGCCGCCGTTCTGCTTCACCTGAATACAGGGGCAGGCTTTTCGGTCGGAGTCCGATACAAAGGTGCGCCCCAAGGATCCCTTGACTTCAAACTACCCGGATGAGCAACATCTGCGCCAGTCGACGAACAGATTTTGCCGCGAAATCATCTGCTCTGTCGAGATTTTACTTTCTTCTCCTATTTCAAATAATCAAAAGTTTATTCGTGGACCCAAGATTGAATTTTTAAATTGCATTAGCGTTAACACAAACTTATCGAATCTTCTAAACGGTGATGGTAATAGTGCTGGTAGTGGTTGTGCTTGTGCTTGTGGTAATGCACTTTTGAATCGAACGTAATTGATTAGACCCGTCAGAAGTTTACTTTAATTGAGTGTAATTGATTACACGAGGAAGTTGTTACATCTGACTTGGTAGAAAGCTATATGCAAGTTTCCTTTCTATCGCAGTCGACTACTGACTCCGTTGATAGAAGATCGAGGAAAACCGGTATAGACGTTTCTAGGATGATCGTTATCCAGTGAACAAAAAATACCAACCATAACGCCATCAAGATTTAAAGGGCCTACCAGTTTAAATCATCAACGTTTGGGTCCCTCCATGTCCCCCTTTTTTTCTACCAACTTCCAACAGGGGAGACCGTACTCGAAGAAAAGTGGATTCCTCGAGAAACGTTGTTGATCGATTTTATTTCAAACGTCTTTTCTTCTTCTTCTTCTTCATCGTCACAGTTTTGATTTTTTTCTAACAGTTTACACCATTGCAACCAAATTTATATTGAATTTTTTTTCCGAATAATCGTTAAATTATTTGCGTTTAACAACGTAAGACGAATTTCCATGACGTGTTTCTTGCGATTAAAGTTCTGGTGGCATTGAAAGAAAGAGAAGGGATTTATCGTTTAAATGCGTACACATGTGTACGATAAGGCGGGAGATTTGACTGCTTTGAGAAAGACAGAGACGGAAAGAACGAGCTTCACGAACTCACTTGACACTCGACCGATATTTTCTCTTAGGATATAGATAGTTGGTTCGTTCGTTCGTTCATTCGTTCGAATCTTTTCAAACGAAGTTTTAAATCGAACAAAAATATTTCTTTCGAAGAAGAGGTATATATTTGCGTGCGTGGTAATGTCGTAATATTACAAAAAGTGAAAGAAGTTCTTCTCTTATCGATGAATCAGTCGATGCGATTGCAACGATAACTCGTGTTTTTCTTGCAACGAACGGTTATGGTTACCTCAAGTGGAACGTGTTTGACGTGTAAATAAAATTTGCGCGAAAAAGTTAAGCAAAGCAAAGGAAAAAAAAAAAAAACAATATTACATATTACAAAGAAAAAGAAGTGCGATGGATCAAAGTGGAGGATAAGATTCGTACTCGTATGTGTTATATCGTCGAGCTTTTGCGCAAAATACGATGAAAAATATTCGTTGGTTCGAAAAATCAACCATTGTATTCGTGGAAGATATATACGGGTGCGGGTTATATTTAACGATTTGGGAATCTTCAACATCTACAACAAGAGAACATCTGCCGAACTTTGTTTTCTCCACCTATCCCCGTCGTTCTAGTCTCAATTGAAAAGGAAATCTGATTTCGCGATTCATGACGAAAATAAAAATGTGCGTGAAAGCTGTTGAGGAGAACGAGGACGACAAGGTCGTCAACACGATCATCAATTATTTCTCTGGAAGGGTAAAGCAAATTCATTTCCTTGAAACAAAGAAGAACGATTCGTATATAATACTTACTTAAATAAAAACTGAAATGTTATAAAAAAAAAAAAAAAAAAACAAATAGGAAATGCGAGATTCATTTGGTATGTACGTAACTGGTCTTTTGTGCACGTGCAGAAGCCTTCGAATATCAAGCACTGCAAATACCTTTCACCCGAGCAATGTCACTAAAGATTCTCGATATCTCTTGGTGCGACGACATTCAGTCGAGGATTTTCGTTTGCCGAACGAATACGTTTCCGATGAAAATTGCTCTTTTTTTCCTGTAGCCTTTCGAAATCTTTTCACTAGTGTGTTTTTTCGTGCATAGAACGCGAGCACAACGCTGGTTTTTACTCGATAATTAACGACTATAATTTGTGTTTGCAGAATTTCTTCTCAAAGAGATCGTTCCGATCGAATCCCTTAAAAAGGACGAAGAGCGTGACGAAATTGGAAAGACAGAAACAACGGGGCGCCGGTCTACGGGGTTGTCGTTCGCACGAATCCCTCCTCTGCGGACAGGCTGTGACCTCGATGGACCTGGCTGCTGTAACGCCGCTTCATCCAAGCCTCCTTGGTAGACCTCATTGCTTCCAGGTCACACCCAGTACCGGTGCACCAAAGTATTTCAGTTGTAGAACGGCTCACGAACGGGACCAGTGGTTACACAGGTTTGTCTTTTATTTTTTTTATTTTACTTCCTTTACTTATCTCTTATCATAATCCACACACATAAGTAGGTGTTGTTTTTCTATTAGCAATTTTTTCATTTAAATAACAATAGCTTGAGGAAGTCCGTGCAACCGGATGCTGAACAAACGAGAAGGACGGATAATTCTCTACAGATTTGGTTACTCGAGGCCAAAGGTGTGCCAGCTAAGAAACGTTACTTTTGCGAGGTCTGCCTCGATAGCACGCTTTATGCAAGAACCACGGCTAAACTGAAAGCCGACTTATGCTTCTGGGGCGAACACTTCGACTTTCATCATCTTCCATCTGTCAATACGATTCAGGTGAACCTTTACAGGGAAGCCGATAGGAAGAAGAAGAGAGATAAAAATGTTCTAATCGGTAAGCCCAATCCTTTTCTTTTCAAATAACATTGAAAAAACTTGTAGTTAAATTGTTTTTATTTGATTATTACAGGTTCGGTCAGCATACCAGTTCACAACGTAACGTCTCGTTATCTAACAGAAAAATGGTACGCGGTGGTAGGCGACAAGGGTCCTTTAAAGGAACCACCAACGCTCAGGGTAAAATGTCGTTTCCAGTCGGTCGACATACTGCCGGTTCAGGTTTACCAGGAGTTCCTGGAATACTTGAAGACCGATTATGCGTCTCTCTGCGAGAAACTCGAACCGGTAATCGCCGTCAAGGCGAAGGAAGATATCGCGACTGCTTTGGTAGCCGTTATGCAACGCGAGAAAAAAGCACCGCAATTCTTAGCGGATCTGGTTATGATGGACATTCATAGAATAGGTTCGTTTTTATTTCATTTTCACGATGTATATATATGCATATCTTATCATATAGGACATATTTTTATTTATTATTTTGGAATGAACATTTTCAGACGACGAGAGACTCACATTCCGGGGAAATTCTTTGGCCACAAAGGCAATGGAAGCATATTTGAAATTAACAGGCGACAGGTATTTGCAAGAGACCCTTGGAGCCGTTGTAAGAGGTGCCGTAGAAGGTGGAGACTGCGAGGTGGATCCTCTCAAGGTTGCCTCCGTGGCCGCCCTCCACAAGCAACAACAAAATCTTCGTAACGCGGTAGAACTCGCCTGGAGCAAGATTCTGTCAAGTCACGCACATTTTCCACTAGAATTGCGCGAATGCTTTCGAATTTTCCGCGAACGTTTAGCCGATATGTGTCGAGAAGATATAGCGGATAATTTGATATCCGCGTCTATCTTTCTGAGATTTCTTTGTCCTGCCATTCTCAGTCCGTCTCTTTTCAACATCACTCACGGTGAGTTTTTGACTTTGTTAGTTGCGTTCGTATTTATTAACGTGATCGAAATTAATCCTTTATTTTCATTTTATTTTTTCTTTATAGAATATCCGAACGAGAAAGCAGCGAGGAATCTGACTCTCGTCGCGAAGACCTTGCAGACGTTGGCGAACTTCACGAGATTTCAGGGGAAGGAAAATTTCATGGAGTTCATGAACGATCTATTGGAACGAGAAGCACCGTCCATGAAGAATTTTCTGCAACTTATCAGCGTTAGTAGTGTTTTATCGATATCCGAATACGTTATTTCAATGTTTACAAAATTATATATTCTCTTTTTGTTTCTTTTACAGAGTTCATTACCAAAAGACGCACCAGCGAACAACTCGTTGGAGTTCGACGGTTACATAGACCTAGGAAAACAATTGTCTCTCCTACATGCGTTGTTGCGAGAAAGCGTTGCAGCGATGGCATCGTCCTCGCAATCGTCGCCGCCACCAAAATTGCTAGAAATTCTCGATAGGATTTCCTTGGCATTGGATCAACCAGGACCAAGTCCTGTGCCAACTTCTCATCGTTATCAAAATTTACAAAACAATATATTCCGTTACAACGATCCGACGATCGCCAACAGCAACACGAATCTCTCCGTATCGGCAACATCTACTCTGAGCAATCATAGTACTCTGAACGGTACCATCAGAGATAGCAATGAGTTGCTGCAATCCAATACGTTGGGTCATAACAGTTCGCGTAGTCCAAACGTCGTCAGGGCGGCCACTCTTCCTCGGAACGCTTATATGGCGAATAACGGGAAATTGCAATTACAAATCAATACGGACGATTATACTTTAGAACCAGCGGCCTTCGTATCTCGATCTCCAACTCCTATAATACGTCAGCACAGGCCGATCATCCAAACTCGTGCCGGTGCTGGCTACAGATTAACAGCCAGTGCCAGTTTGGCGAACGTTAATCACTGCCAGACGCATCCATCCAGTCCGACTCGTTCCGAAAGTCACAGCAATCTCAAAGATTCTAATTACAATATAACTCTAACGGCAAACAATCAACCAAGTAACTTGAACAGCGTCGCTCATCATCATCATCATCATCAACAGCAGCAGCAGCAACAGCAGCAGCAACAACAACAGCAGCATTACAGACACAATATAGCGAGATTGCAAAATCTCGAAATTCACGATAGGGAGGACAATTATAATCACAATAATTATAATGTATCGAGGTCGGCAAGTAGGAATCATTGTCGGAAGGAAGAAAATGTGAATCAGACTCAACAACAGAATTACAACAACGTCTCAAAGACTACGGTAAACGCGAACGTAGTGGTTAATCCCTCGACGAATTTAACTCTGTCGATAAATCATCATCAGCCGAACAACAATTACAACAACGCTAAGGGGAACAACGGTAGCACTACCACTGCCAACGGTAATCTCGACGAACTTTCGGATCTCCTCAGGTACGCCGACGACGAGGTTTCCGAATCGAAATCTCAAAAGGGATCGCAAATTTCGATCTCTCAGCTGAGCAACGTCGCATCTTCGGGTTACCAGAGCTTCGCTGCTTACAGCCAAAGCTCGAGTCCGGTCGATCTCAGCAGCAACAACGCGAACGCGCATATTCTCACTGCCGCGCCATTGGCCTTCGCCAATCCTGTTTATCACATGGACTCGAATCACGGTAGATCGGGTAGAAGAGGTAGCACCAGCTCCGAAGAGAGGGACGGCAGCGGCGGTGGTGGAGTCGAAGGGGTCAGAGGAGTCGATCTCAGTCCGTCGCCACCTCCTCAAAACAACGTGAGAAATCTTCAAAGGAATGGACAAAATCAGTGGCGACAAATTAACCAAACTCACAGGAATAACTCTGAGCAACAACAAAATGTTTGTTGCAACAAATTGAGAAGAAGGTTGTCTCTTGACTCGACGAGGGATCTTTCCGACACCAGTGAAGAGGAAAATTGCACCACTAGAAGAAGTAAATCTCGAAGTCATCGCAGCATCGATCAGGTAGGATAGTTAGGACTAATTAAACTATCGAATTATTTCGTGTTGAACACTCTCTTCTTCGTGAATTATCTTTTACTCTCTATCTTTTTTCTGTTAACACGTAAATAACCAAAAGTTACGAGAATAGGAAACTTTGTGTTTGCTCGCATTGTAACTAACACGGTCTCCTCTTCGGTTCTAGTATCAGGTGGAAATCGAGAGGCTGCAGAATAGCGTTGATCGAGTAAGAGCTAGATTTGGCGGGAACGAAGATACAGATATAAATGGCATCGCACCAGACACCGAGATGAAGACCATCATCTCCAGGTACTTCACTTTCATCCCCACGAGTACTAATCCACCGAATCTATATGCCTGAGTGTGACCCTATCTCATTGCCACTTTCTCTCTCTCTCTCTCTCTCTCTCTCTCTCTCTCTTTCTCTCTCTTTTTTCTCTTTTCCATATCGATATCGATCGACTACTACCATTCCTGTTCTTATTTCCGATCTTCCATGTCCACGCATCTTTACCTTTCTCTTTTCATGGCTCACGGAAGAACGGAGGATCCATTCACAAATCTAACTGTCGATCATTCTGTTCGATCAACGAAATCACATTCAACAACGGCTTTAGCAGACTCGCGATTATTTTGTAAAGATTTCTAAAAGTGGTGTCTGACGCTGATAAACAGATACTCTTTAGCTTCATTCGCCACCTTTGGAAATAGAGAAAGAAAGAAAGAAAGAAAGAAAAGAAAAGAAAAGAAAAGAAAAGAAAAGAAAGAAAAATGAAATAAAGTAAAAGGTGATAAAGTTCATCTTGTTGAAGCTTAGCCGGGATATATACGTAAAGGTACGGTTACGGAATTTTTCAACATTTTTATCTATTTATTTATCTATCTATCTATTTCTATCTCTATCAATTTATCTATCTATCTATCTATCTATTTATTTTGCACTCACTCACTCTCTCTGTGTGTATCTTTCTTGTGACAAACCGATATCGTCGAGAAAGAAGGATACTTTAGCGAGCGTGGTGTGGCCAACGGGGAAAATAAAAATAACATATAAACAAATAAATGTCAAATTAATTAATAAGGAATAATTATGAAATGAAAGAGAAACAAAAACACTGACTGTAATCGATCCGGCTAATTTATCGATATAATGTATGTTTAATTGATTGTGTGTTCCTGTGCATTCTATCCGCTGCATTTGGTATACTCTGGCTTGATCTGGATCTTGGTGTAAGAGTCAATTATATTTCTAAGCTTCTTACAATTTTCTCACGTACACACAACATATATATACATATGTATGCATAAATGATACCAAAAAAAAAAAAATATATATATATATATATATATATATATATATATATATGTATATATATTTTGTATACTACTCTGTTAGCATTTCTGTCTTATATCTCTTTTCTCTGTTGTGTCGTTGTACTTTATAATTTGTACAAATTTCTAACACGCGAGCAAGTAATTTTGCTTAAAGATCTTTCGAGTATATCGCCGCTGGTATAGAACAAAGTCAGTTTTTATTATGAGGTCTTCGTTCGTTTTGCTTTAATCATCAAAATTATCAATGAAGAAATATCATGACATACACGAAATACTTTTCAATACCGATCAACAACAACCAACACTCATCAATTATAAACCCACATGAATTTTATTATAATACCATCATTTTTTTTTTTTGTTCAAACATAACTGCATCGTACTATTTACACGTTGCGTGTATGTGTATGTATGTACGTATGTCTGCTACTGTTACCACCACCGATACGAGAAAGAACCGTCCATTATATGCAATTTTAATTAAATTCGAAATTTGTAATTGTCACGAGAGACGTTTCTTTCTCGCAAAAAAAAAAAAAGAAAAGATACTCTTTAATATCAACATGTCGCTCTATTTATTTGTAGGCCAAATGCAGAATACTTTTGGCTTCTTGATCGTAACTAAACCCCAGCGCAGCCATTTTTATCCTCCTTGTGCACCATGATCGTTAATTTTTAATTATTATTTTTATTCTTTTCTCCCAAGTAAATGATTTTTGTTGTCTTTTGCATTTAAACACGGCTGCTTCTTTATCATTCTGTTTCATAAATATATTATTATACATTTTTATGTATATATTATACATACGCGTATACAGGGTGAACATTTTTAAACACCAAGAGTATATTTCTTATTAAATATTGTTCATAGGTGTATTGAAAATGAATGCAACAAAGGTGGTGTTCGATAGTCCATCCTGTATATCACAAATATATTGATGTCTTATTTTCGTTCTTATTAATTGAATCATTTTTAACAACGATGGCGAACCCATGAATTTATTTAAAAAAAAAAAACAAAAATGATTTCAAATCCTTTTTGTTAGAAAAGGTTCGCTATCAATGTTTTCGTCTTTATAGTAAAA